TTCATAAACTCCACCATGAACAAGCGACAGAAAGCAGGGATGTTGGTTTGACACCACAGATGAAAGAGAGAGAAAGCCAATGATCCTATGTAGTAGCTGTGGTGTTAAATGGCACAAATGAACCTGGGTGGGCAAAAAAAAAGTTAGAGATATGACTTGTGCTGAGCCTATTGTTGAAGAGTGCTTGTTTGGCACATTTACCAAAGACAAAAAGAGAAATTCTCCAACCATTAAAGTCTGACGCCACTATAAAAAAAGAAGTTGTGCTCAAAGATTTTCCTGCTGTTTCCTTCAGTGGTTCTTGGTGCAGCGCCTCCACAGGTAAGGAGGTAAATAGTTTGCTCAGATGGTTTGGTTTGTTTGACACAGTGCAACATGAACTTCAACTGCTGAAAATGTAGCAAACTTTTCGATTTTGGTCTCCAAACGAACCAAATCTATCAGACTATGAGGTTTGAAAACACCCTAACTCTGATTGCAATGATAGCAAACATTAGCTGAGCGATCATTTCCAGGTACTTACCTTGATTTACTCGACTGATTTTCACCCTCTTTTTAAAAATTAAAGTGATATTTTCTTCTCGTTTGCTTCGTAGCAGCTGTTCTATCTGCAGTTTAACTGGTACTCTGAGCATCCCGATTTCCTCCAAAAAGTTGCATCCCTTTGTTAGTCTCAGTCACATGGTTTTGGTGTCTCCATGAAGCTTCACAATATTTGTCTCTGTATTTCTGAACCCAGGAGTGAGCAACCAGTCCTGAGGGGATTCTGTGTTCAGCCTTAGAAAACAACTCTGATGGAAACGTCTGTTTGTGAGGAAGCTCAACATGCAGTAGCGTAGTGTGGTACAAAAGCAGAAGCCCCATGAGATCAGCTTGCCAATCAGTTTCCCGGGGGAGATAGTATTGATTCCTGAGCTGAAACCTGCAAACAATATTTTGATCTCACACTTTTTTTTTTTCTCGGTCTGCAACAACAAAGCACAAAGCAAAGCAATGGTTTCCAGTTGCTACCACCTTTTTCTTCTATTACTATTGAAATGCAGCTCAATTGTCTGGATTAGGATGAACTTCAACACTCGGGCAGATCAAATTGTCATTCACCAAATTTCCATTTGGCACATCATTTTTCTGCCTTAAATAACACAAAAATAGACTCAAATAAATGCTGCATCATGAACTAAACAGCTAATTAAATTCAACTTTAACTAGCTATCTCTAGCTAACTAACTAGGTTATACAGACAGACAGATAGATAGACAGACACTCACACCTACTCATCTAATGTAATGTAAGATCAACAAATTTATTTTGTCATCCATGTTTTACCATTATCACCTGTGTGTTAAAAACATAGTTTGTAATCGTAGACAGGGTCTTTGCCACATCTTCTTAAAAAGCAATATGTGACAGTGCCCTCCTCAGTGTCGATAGAGTGTTTGAAAAGTTTAAATGTTCGGTCATTTTGTTGGCTCAAGAAAAATAGACTTTTAGGTTCTTCGTGTGTGGGTGCTTGATATTTTCCTGTGGTATCTGTCAAACACAGCTGTAGATTTGATTTACCTGCTGCTGAACAGTCACAGCAGAACAGAAGCAGCTGCACCAGATGGACTACTTTTTCTTTTCTGCATAGCTAATTTTCAAGTTAAGTTTTTGGATTTATGGAATAAAAGGGAAGCTTGCAGACATTTCAGCACACATCTTGGAGGCTCACAGACAAAGATGAGAGTGAAGCATCTTCAGACAAAACTGAGCAAAAGTCAGTTGTCTTTGTTTTAGGTCTGTTGTAGTACACATGACCGCTAAGAAGTGTCCGCTGTGCACATTCAGTATCTTTGTGACAAACCATTTAATGAACTCTTTTATGTGTGTGTTCAGTTTTCTGCATGTGGGTTAAATGGCTTCGTCAGAACATGACACTCTGCAAAATATATCTAGCGAACTTTGGGGGCTTGTGTTGTAGAGTTCAGGCTCATGGGTGGATCTACCCATAATGCTCTTTGGTGATCATTGGATCACCAGAACATCCAAAAGCAGCAGTGTATCAGTGTTTTATCTTCCTCTCTGAATAATCAAAAAATTTGTTCTTGTGCCAATTTGCCCAACATTTGCAGAAGGCAGAGGCCGCCAGCCTTTAGACTCACAGTGAGCTCACTGTTGTTTCCTGCTGGTCTGTGCATAATAAATACCTACAGATATCATCTCCTCTGATTCAATTATAAACATGTCCATTTAAAAAGCAACAGACCAAAGGCTGACAATTAAACCAATTTAGCATGGGATCTGATAGGAGTCTGCCTCTTTAAATGCCACAGTTGCATGAATTTTTTTTCCCCATCTACTCTTAATCAGAAATACCACCTGCGGTGCACAAAGTCACATTATGAGATAAAATTTGCAACATTTTTTTGTGAAACATTAAGCCAGGTATTTCAGTAAAGTCGAGCAAGAGTAGTTTCTATGCATAGATGTTTTGTTTCGGACGCAAATTGTGGGCAGCATAATTGTTTTTGCACACAAAGGTATGCAATTATATGTATATACTTAAAAACCTAAGTACGTTCCATTGTCTAACACATGCTGTGTAATTGATGTCCCCAGAGATCATACACAACAGGCAGCTTTGGTCCCCACACCTTTTTTAAATACCACACTTTGTTGTTTTTAAAGAGAGATGCTTACAAAAATCGGCTGTAGCAGTAGTTCAGTGCTTCCTTTTGTTTTATCCTCAATCAATGCTAAAACACAAAATATTACTAAGTCTCCAGCAAAACAGATAAAAGTTGCTTGATTCTATCAATAGTTATTTTATATATATATACACACAAAGTCTACAGAGGTGTCTTGAAACATCACAACATATAACGATAAAGTTGCTGAGTGCCACTTTCCTCCAGCTGCGCTTAGCTCTGCCACTCATCCCCAAACTCTGTCGTTCCTCTCCACCTCTTGGTTCCACCAAGTTTGTTGGAGTTTTTCAAAATTTTGGCTTACGGTTTCACAGGGGGAATAGTTGCACTTTTGCCTTATGCTGCGCAATACAGAAACTGTCTGCTCTGTATTGAGCAGACAGTCGAGCAGGTTAAACTCTTGGAGATGCTCCAACAGCAGCGCAGCGTGACCTACTTTCTGATCAGCATTTTTAGCTGACTTCTTATTCAACTTATATGTATTTGATTACAAATGGCATCTGTAGATTGTGGTCACAACAAAAGCTTTCTTTTGTCCTGATGCAGTAACAGACGACACGTTGAACCCTTCATCCCAGTAAACACACATTCAGATGGGAGAGACTTTACGCTTCAATAAATGTGATTAATTGTGTGTGTATTACCACCTACACCAACACACACTGCAAGGCCAGGAACAGCACACCAGCAGCCTGGGAAAAAAATAAGATGTACACAAAATTTCAATTTGATATAAACTTATCATTTTTCACTTTGCATCTGCTTTACTGCTACAACAGTGTTTCCTAATTACCCAGGCAGTCATTCTTTAACTGGTTTTAACCTTGCACTGAATTTGTGCAATTAACACATTGCGCAGAGCAATCTTTTGTAAGCCTTTTAAATTTCATTTTCGACCCAACGTACTTTATTTTTTCTTTTCTGCTGCCATAATTTTCATTTCGGGAGAATGAAAGGACCTTGAACAACTGTGAAGATGTGTTGAGAGACAAAAAATTTCGATTACTCTTTAACCACATGTCTCGGAAACAGTGTCTTTCACATCATGTGTGTTTGAATTTTCTTCAGGTAGACATATTTCTTGTTTAACTATGTATCAGTTTGAAAAATATCAGCTGCCGTGAATCTCTCGGAAGATGTCACCTGCAGCACCCAAACAGGTGCCTTAATGGTGAGAACCATTTGTGTGGATGCAATAAACATGATTAAGTGTGTGCTCGCAGGTGAAAGTCCTGCCCAATAAAGAAATGAAGTCATCCACAGCATGGGAAGAGCTGCAGACACACCACTGGCTGCTGAAGAGTGTGGAAAAAAACAACCTGCTTTCTGTTAGGTTTGTTGGCAGTAAAGAGTCAGAGCTGCTTTGCAACCCTGGTTTGAACGCTGCCGGTTATTGCCAAGTAACCATTAGAGCAACATTTCCTCCTCTCTTCCAGTCCAGCGGTAATATCTCTGCACGCTGTGAGTGGATCATTAGCCATAAATGAAGTCCTGAGCGCATTGTGATGCATTGAGGTGCGCTCTATGTTTGTCATCTGACATTATTTCTCTGCATTTCTGTGACAGAGGAAGAGAGGAATACTCTGCAAAAACCCTCCTTAATTAAAATGCTTCTACATCAGTATATTAAATCCTTTTAGATGAGAAGAGAAAGATTATAAAGGGCAAATTTCTTCAAATGATTGGGATTGTTCTCTGCTTCTTCATAATCTAATGCTGGGTAGAAAAAGAACTCAATCATTTTTTCTTTTAATGGTGGGACTGGGTTCAGATTTTTAATCATGTTAATTACAGGGTCTGTAATTAATTAACTGAAGTCACATTTTTAATAAAAAGCCATTGATGAATGAAAGAAGAGACATTTTCAGTTCCAAAATCCTTTTGCTGCTAAATGATTGAGTCAATATGAGCTCAACTAAGACATGTGTTGTTTTTAATCTGTTAACAAGATTACTCAAATAGCTAATTAATCGAAAATAGGGCATCAAAAACCCTGGGTGCTTTTTTTTTTTTAAACATAAAAAAAAATTGCAACATCCACTTTAAAGCTCAATATTTATTTCTTTACTTGCGAAACCAAATATTTTTCTTTTCTCAGTATTTAGCCCCCCAAATAAAGTCTTATCCCCTCTTTGGCCACCTCTTGCTAAAACTCTAGTTCCGCCTTGGGAGCAACTTTACAAAATGTATTGATAATCTACCCATTCACAGATGAAACTCTCACTAACTGTCCACGCGTCATCAAAGCGGCGCCAATAGCCAGCGCGCCTCCCTGCTGTGCCAAACATAAAAGCAGCTGCGCTCTGAACTCCACGCATCGGTTCGGTCTTCCTCAAGGAGCAGCAGCTCACGGATCAGCGCACAGACCGTGATCCTTGGATGCTCCATATTTAAATTAGAATGGATTTAAACTTCACGCTCTCGGAGCGCAGCCTGGCCGGCTTTGGCACGCTGGCGCAGCGGCTGTTTGGGAACAAGTCGCTGTCTCCCGTTGGGAACGAGACGGGCGCTCCCAGAACCGAGGAAGACGACCTGGAAGTGAACACCGACATCTACTCCAAGGTGATAGTCACCGTTATCTACGCGGCTCTTTTTGCCGTCGGCTCTCTGGGGAACTCCATCACCCTGTACACCCTGCTGACCAAAAAGAGCCTGCAGAACCTCCAGAGCACCGTGAACTACCACCTGGCCAGCCTGGCCGTGTCCGACCTGCTCATCCTCGTCCTCTCCATGCCCATCGAGCTCTACAATTTCATCTGGTTTCACCATCCGTGGATGTTCGGGGACGCCGTGTGCAGGGGCTACTACTTCCTGCGGGACAGCTGCTCCTACGCCACCGCGCTCAACATCGCCAGCCTGAGCGTGGAGCGCTACATGGCCATCTGCCACCCGTTCAAAGCGAAGAGCATCATGTCCCGGAGCCGCACTAAGAAGCTTATCAGCGCCATGTGGATCGCGTCCTTCGCGCTCGCCACTCCGATGCTCTTCATCATGGGCCAAATGACCCGCAACGGGGAGAAGATCTGCACCACCATCGTTTCCGCTGTCACCATGAAGACCGTGCTGCAGGTGGGTGGAGATGGTGCGTGTGCGTGGGTGAGTGTGCGCTTTCAGCTGCTGGGTGTGAGGAGCTTTGCGCTCCCGTCTTTGCGCAGCGAGAGTTATGGAGTCTGAGATATCCAATGTAAATATTAACACATCAGAACTTATAGAATAACCGCCCGTGAAAGGACGGAGTGTGTTTGTGAGCGATGGAGGAATGCAATGATGAAATGTGTGGCTGAACTGTGGAGTGAAGGCTTTACGCACGGCTCTGTGTCTGACTCCAGTTTGCGCTCTGATGTGTGCGGTCACAAGACTGCACAGGAATTTACAACGTTATGTAATAGGGTTTATTTTGTTAAAATCTGACATTAACTGTCCCATTTATCGCATTGTTTCCAACTGCATCAACATATAACAAAAAAAAATCATATTTTTTTTTCATCTGAAGTGATGAAAATGATTTAAGGTTAAATTCATCGCTGTTGTGTGATTAAGCTATTTTGCTCAATTCTAAGCAAGGGTAACGATAAGGAGTTAAAATTTAATTGTATTTATTGTAAAGATAAAGTGTTTTTTAAAAAACTGCTCTCTTTTGTACACAGTACTCTCTGTTGTATTTTTAAAACAGGCTTCTTCAGGACACCAGTTGCATAAGAAAATCTGGATTTAAGCATCAAGCTTCACATAGTGAGCAGAAATGGGTTTTTTGATTAATGATTGGTTTAGATTTTTACCAAGAAAGTTATGGCCTGTAGGTGTTTATTATAATCTTTAAATAGAATGTCACTTAAGAAATCCTTAACTAATGTTGAAAATAAAATATTTAGGTTTGGAGATCTGAAAACCTTTTCTTTTATAATCAAACTGTTTGTGTGTAATTAGCATTCTTATTGCCACGGTGACTGAATTTTAATGCACATTTTGTCTCTTCTTGATCTAATGAAGCAATATTTTCAAACAGATGGCAAAAGTATAAACCTCCCAGGAGGAGTGAGAGAATTTTACTAAGAACTCAGAGAACTATGTGTCCTCTACATTGAATGGTGGGAATTTTCAAATGACTTATAGGATATGAAATTTGAAATGTTAAAATTATTATGTAAAATAAATTAGGAATGCTGCAAACAACTAATAATACCCAACAAACAAATTTGCTCACACATTAGTACACTAAGGTCTAAGGTTTAAGGAGTTCTTACTATGTTTTATAAAAACCATTGAACTTATAAAGAACTCTGCTTTAGAAATTCAGGAGGTTTCATTGACCTTTGAGTGGCTTCAGAGGCCACCAACTAACAGATGTGGCACATAATGAGTTTTTGATTTATGCCTGTCTTCACACCTCCCTCTCTTGGTCTAACATTTTCGTCTGTTTAATGCCACTGCTGCAGCTGCTTCTCCTCCTATCCTGTTTCTTCTTCCTAACATCTTTACATTGCGCTGACTTGAAGGCAAGAGAGACAGTAAATCCTTTATGTATTGTGGTGCTAAACTTTCAGTGGTTTATAAACTAACATCAGTATTTTTTTAAGTGTATTTTCTGAGCTACGGGGAGCCAGTGGAAGGCCTATAGAACTGCTGTGATGTTCTCTGTCTTCCTGGTTTTAGTGAGAATGGCAGCAGCAGCATTCTGGATCAGCTGCACCTGGAGGATTGATTTGCTACTCAGACCTGTGAAGACGCTGTTGCAGTAATTGATGTGAAGTAGATAAATGCATGGATGAGTTTCTCCAGGTCTTTATGAGACTTTAATGCTCTAATCCTGGAGATGTTCTTGTGGTGATAGAAAGCCAACTTTGTGACTGTCAATGTGGCTCTGACGGTTCAAGTCAGAATCCATCACTGCACTCAGATTTCAGGGCTGATCGCTAGTTTCTGGCTGTAATAACTAACTATTGATTGTTCTTCTTTTACTCCAAAGATAATAACATCAATTTTGTTTCTGTTCAGGTGGAGAAAGTTATGTCACATATGTCAGGTTTAGCGTTCAGGCTGTATGACAGCACTGAGACTGGAAGTCTTGATAACTTTATGACAGCAATGAATATCTATTGCATCTGTATAAATGTATAGTTCTAACCCAAATGTTTGTCACACTTTAATGGAGTCTTTCCGCTGCTTTCGTCTCTCTTTGATGTCTTATTTTGTCATTGATGGTTTAAGATTAGCTGAAAACCACTGAATTTTGCTTCAGTGGATTATAAATTGCCAAGATAACTCGATAAAATACTGCAGTTTAATATAGTTTTTTATTTTTTTGCCACTCTGTGCCAAGTTGCTCCTCCACATCAACATGCTGTTTGCCTCGTCCCCTCATTCCCTCCCTCTCCTCTTTGTTCTTCTCCTTCTATTCACAATGCCAACATAATAATCACCAACCGGAGCTGCAGCGTGGCTGAAAGATTGTATTCTAGGTTACTTTGGTTAAATTTATACATAGAAAAAACACAAGCATATATTTTCACTTCACAGAGGAAAATCTCTTCCAAAACAGTAATTCTACAGAAGAATCAGTGACCAACACTGTCAACACCTTGCACAGAATTTTCTAAGAGTGCATGTGTTCCTGATGTTTGGATGCACTGAAAGGTTGTGCCTGCTGGTTTTAGCACCAGAGGCGCCACGCATTTAGCCTCTTACCACAGCAATCAGTAGCTTTGTGCGGCGAGACGGTACATGTGTGCCTCACCAGGCTTGCAGATGCTTGGAAAGACATAGTGCAGAGGGGAGGGAAGAAGATGGAGGACGATCCTTTGTGGATTAATAGGAGCATAGAGTGAACTCTGCTCAGGGGTAAGAGTCCAGCCGTCTTGAGTTCTTTCGTTGCTTAATCTGCGCCGTAAATGGCAAAAATAAATAATGCAGAGGATCGAGAATTCCCTCTGTAAAGCAGACTCGTGGCTGGCAGACATGCAACACTTGGAAGATGACTATTTTAATTTAGTTTCCAGATTTGGCATTTATTAATTATGGAAAAGTTTAATATCTGTTTGGGATGAACTAAAGCTGGCACCTGTCAATGCTTTGTTCATTGTAGTTTTTTTTTGTAAAATCTCACACAAACATTCATCACTGAATACACATGGAATAATTTTCATACATGAAATACATTTGTTTAAAGGTTCACTATTCTGAAATTTCCAGGCACATTTTGCCTTTTTGTAGCATTAACAAATAACTATTATCTGCAGTTGTTGCAAAAATGTAAATATCAAATATGACAAAGAAGAAATTTGACTTTGTAATTTACCGCCTCCAAATTGGCTCTTTCTGTTTCTTTAAACACTCCTGCTCTCTCTGAAGCTCCACTTTCAGAAAGTCATCATAACACACCTCTTCAACAATATTTTGCCAGCTTTGGACTGAGAAATAGCTCTATCATGAATTTGGCAGAAAGAATAATAAATAATGAGTAATTTTCTAATTACCACTGGCTAGTTTGGAGGAGCTGTATGGGGGAGGACTGCTCTGGGAAGCTTGGAAACTGCGATCTTGAGGAAGAGCCGCGCCTGGAAGACGGCGCTAGATCCACCCGAGAATTTTTAAACAGCTGAAATTAAAGGATTTTATGCACAAAATAATCAAGGCAAAACTCCACGTATGTTTTTGATGATGTAATGATATTATAATATATTGTAGAGCTCAAAAGGAACAAGAACTGCTCCTTTAAATGTATGCAATGAATGTCAATTTACATTCAAGAACATTTCGATCAAAGATCTTAACAGTGGAACCAAAGGAACAGAAAAAGAATAAAAAAAGAATGAAAAGACTTTAGAACAGAAAATGTTGAGAGAAAAATTGCCACCGTTCCAACTGATTGAGTATCGATGCAGAATAATTAAGAAACAAAATCTGCTGTAGAGCAATGAGAGGACACTAAAGTTCTGTGAAATGACACAGCAAGTGCAGCTTTTCATATGCTGAAAGTCAGACAACAGAGGCTGGTGGAAGGCAGTTTAACTCACACTTTAACGCTTCCTGTCTTACCTGCTCTGGCTGCCTCTTCCAGTAGATGGCACTTGAAGTTACCTGCACATAAAAAGTTGCGTCACAGTTTCTAATAGTGATACTGATGAGAATTGGAATCTAGGAAAGGATATGATGAAAAGGACATTTTTCTTTTCTTTTTTGCTCAAAGAAATCAGCGTCTGCATGCATGTTGCTTCTTTCTTATTCCTCTCTTTCTGACCTGACAGTCCATATGTCAGTCTAATCTGTAAAGTCCTGTGTGTGATTCTGTGTTTAAAATAATACTCACTGTATCTCTCTCATCCTCAGTTGTTCCTGCACTTGCCCCATCATCTGTTGTGGATCAGCCAGATTCAAACCTAAATAAATTCAAACCTAAATAAAACAATACATCTGACAGTTATTATTGTGCTTTGGTCTTATACTAATGTTAAAAGGGGTAAAATAAGAGATAAATAAGCAATGCGTCTCTGCTGTGGTTAATTACTATAATTTTAAACTTTGACCAGGCGTCACTGTTGAGTGTTAAGTGCCATTTTCACAACAGCCCACAATGAATATTTGACAGAGACAGACACAAGCAACAGTTATAAAACAAGAATAAAGAGATTAAGCACACACTTCAAAAACACACACACCTCCTTGAATTTCCATCAAAATGAGGACTTTGTGTTGATTTCAGTTTATTTTATTAACTCCATTCATGGCTAACCCAGACAGTTTCCCCTAATCCTGACCAGTTCCTAACATTAAAAGAGCTGTATTCTGCAAAATTGACTTTTTTGAGCTTTATATTATATTAAAATGTTATTCACCCATCAAAAACATTCCTGGGGTGTTGCTTTGATTCTCTCCATGCATGTTTAAGAAATCATTTGATCTCCCTTGGCAACCATTCAGCTGTTTAAATTGTCTGTTCCAGATAATTAGATGTGTTATTAATTCATGAAATATCAGTGCAGCTTAATGTGGATTCACCACGTTGCCTTGTACTGATCTGCTTGTCCCCTCTCAGGTTGATGTTGATAAATGCGTATGCTTCTTTGCCAAAA